GTGAATCTGTGACCTGCTGACTGTGCTCTATCCAACACTCTATCCAATGCAACCCAGGACGCTGCCAGTCTTTGCCACAAGAGCTCATTTCTGGTTCATGTTCAACCTTGTGTCCACGAAGACCTCCAAGTGCTTTACAGCAGATTGGCAGTGCTTCTTATTCGTAGGCAAAACCTTGAAAATACAATGAAAGATTTCTATGAGTCAGAATCTTGAAAGCAATACAAAAACAGTGTCAATTCATGATTTGTAGCCACTTCATATGTTTTGAATCTCTTTTCATAAGATTTTTGACTCTTTAATCTAAGCTCAGAATATTGCAACACTGATTCATTGTTTAGACTGAATTCATCTTTCCAGAAAGAATTTCTCCAGACTTTAAAATTGGAAAAGCAAATCCTTGAAAATATAGAACAGAAAAGCCAAAGATAAGCATCTCTGATTTGAAAGTTATCTCTGTGTAACTTTAGTTCACAATAAATTGTTAGTTTTGAGTTGTGCTCTGATATGAAGTTTCTAAACTATTCCTTTTTGAATAAATAGCTTTGTAGTCAACATCTGCTAGCTTATTTAAAAAGCAAATAACAAAAATAATGAAAAAAGTCTTTGATGTAAGAACTGTGTTTTTTATGTAAGAGCTTGTAGAAATGTTTTTATTTTTATACCTGTCTATAATTTACCTTTTCAGGTGACAACTTTGAATCACAAGTATTTCCGTACACACCTAGAGGATAGTCTTTCACTGGGACGATCACTTGTGATTGAAGATATAGGTGAAGAGTTGGATCCAGTCCTTGATAATATATTAGAGAAGAATTTCATAAAATCTGGAACTTCTTTCAAGGTTAGTAATCTAGCAAAAGCTGGATTTAGCCAAGTAGTTAATTTTGTGGTGAACAGTATTTTGTCTTTTTTTTTCTAAACCTCTAAGTAATCTGGCAAACTTTGTATTCAATAAAAAAAAAAAAAAAGTCAAGAATCAAACTGAATTAATAAAACATGATACAGGAGAGAGATCCTTAGTATAACACCTGAGTAATAAGTTGACAGATCTAAAACTTATATTCAGACACGGACGTTACCTTTAAGTTTTTCAAGTGAGAACCAGTTAAGTTTTTCCTCTCAAATGCTTACATTACATTGTATTGATTTTCATACAATTCCATTTTAAATACTTTAAGAAYAGAATTAACAGATTAGAAAAGATAGCTATCTCCTTAGAGCACAGTGCTCTTTATAGCAATCACAGAATCTTTAATCTGAAATATTTTTTTTCTGGAGTAGCAATCTGAAAACTTGAAGTTTTGTTAATATACGTATTCCTCRCCTTGGAAGTCTTGCATCATTCTGAACTTAATAAGATCACCTTCAAATTATAAAAGCACTCTCCCCACAATATCCTGAAATAAAATGATTGTATATTATATGTATTCCTATATAAGCATTTTCAAGTAATCTTTMTTAACTGACTGGAATATGACAGATATTGTAGAACAGATTGTTGATATTGAAAATAAAAAGGTTATTGTATGGTTATTTTGTTTTGAATGTCAGAACAAAGTAGTAGGCTTAAGGGAGCGGTGCAATCCTACTACTTCTAAAGCACCTATTTGAATTGGCCTRGGAGGGCCATATACAGCCATATACAGATATATAAAGCATATACAGCATATAGAGATTTCTTGTGTTAGTGAACACATGCAGCTTCCAGAGAAGACTATAACTTACTTTGCTACTTTCAAACGTCTCAATTTCTGTTACAATTCTGTAGCAAACATTGAATGAATTTRTTGATACTTTCAAAAATGATAAAGTTCCTTTTACTTTAAAAATACAGAATTATTTTCCCATAATTTATGTTCCATTGTTGGATCAACTTATTTCTTTTCATCCCTGAGAAGAACAATGATTACTCCAAAAGATGCATTTTCTACCATTCTTAKTTTTGAAGCACGATTAACATTGTAAAGGTATAAAATGTAAGCTGAATGGTCTGAAGTTTTTAATTGGTTTTAATTATTATTTCCCAATGAAAAAAAAATCCCAGTTCTTTTTCTGGGCAATAACATTTTCGTACTGCAAATGCTACCTTTGTTCATTCAATATCATTTTCATGACAAATTTAACTTGTGAAATAAATTTTCTCTATTTGGCATTTCAAATATACAGATGTTTTGCTCATCAGTGTTATTGACTGCAATCAAGTTCGTTTTTCTACACTTTTCTTCTTCAATAGGTGAAAGTTGGTGATAAAGAAGTAGAAGTAATGAATTCCTTTAGACTGTACATTACTACAAAGCTACCCAATCCTGCTTTCACACCTGAAATTAATGCAAAGACATCAGTTATTGATTTTACTGTTACAATGAAAGGACTTGAGAATCAATTACTGAGAAGAGTAATTCTTACTGAAAAACAGGTAATCTAACAACGCACACAAACCCTAGTGATACTTAGCTGCAGTTTACTTTTTTAGCATATGGGAGAAAGAAAAGCTCAAGTAGAGAAAGACATGTCCACCATTTTAAAAAAATTTCATCAGATTTGATATAGRAATTTCTAATAAAGATAAATTGGGGGAGAATTTCTACTGATGACTGTCAAGGTGACACACACAAACAAATGACTTCAAGAATTTGATATTCATAAGGTACTTCAGACTGAATAACCACTGCTTAAAAAGAAAAGTGTGTTATAGCAATACATTTTAAAAAGAGTAATTTATAATAGCTGGAAAAATAATGCCATAAATTCCATGAATTCAAAAAATTGATGAGTGATTGTTAAATATATCTCATTGGTACAGTCTTTAAAATGTCGTATCRTTTTCTTGTTTTTTTTTGATAAAAGGAACTGGAGGCAGAGCGAATTAAGCTCATGGAAGATGTAACCTTTAATAAGAGAAAGATGAAAGAACTGGAAGACAATCTTCTGTACAAACTAAGTGCAACCAAAGGTTCTATATCAAAATGTCCCAGATTTTTATTAGGCATATTGAGCTCATTTGCATTAGAACATTTCCATATAGAAATTCATTTATTTATGGAAGATGCAATGAACAAGAATATAGCACATAATGATATTTCTGAATGCAGGGATTCAGAAATACGATGATCTACCAGAGTGCAAGATATTTGATACTGAAGACTAGACAGTGAAGAATATTTTTAAGCACCTAAACATGTTTTAGGAAACAATTCAAATGCTTAAGAGGTTTCAGCCTCTCAAATGAGATATGATATCTGACAATGGGTATATTCTTAATCCATTGAAAATGCAAAGTTAAATTGGCTAACTTAAATTGTATTGAATGTCTTTTGCAGTATCTTGGGAGCCAGTGCATGATTGTTTGTTATCTCTTTGCTGAAATGATAACATAATAGCTTCCAGCAAATTGGTTACTCATTAGACTAGTAAATACTTGATATGCTAGTAAATTAGACTAGTAAATACTTAACACCCATACTGTTGGGTAACCAATGCTGTTTAGAACCCTAAGTCTTTGACAATATTTAACAATCAGCAGATTTTACTACTGATGAAATAAATGAGATACTGTGCATATATACAGTATATAATATGCATAAGAATGTGAACACTTGGTCCTACTGTTGGTACAGACATGGTCATTAAGTTGAGTGCATTTGTTTAGCATATTGAATATAAACAATTTTAGTATTTCTTGTATAAAAGGCTTTCTCCACTTCAGTAAACAATTTTCATATGTTGTAAGTTTCTGTAATTTTGCTTCTGACTTCTGCATGTAACAAATAATGCAGTTCTTATAAAAACGTCCTAACTGCATTCCGTATTTGACTTTTTAGGTTCTTTAGTAGATGATGAGTCTTTGATTGGTGTTCTCAGAACAACTAAGCAAACAGCTGCTGAAGTAGCTGAAAAGTTGGCTGTGGCAGCAGAAACTCAGGTGAAGATTAACACTGCTCAGGAGGAATATCGACCTGCTGCCACACGTGGAAGCATTCTTTATTTTCTTATTACAGAAATGAGCATGGTTAATAATATGTACCAAACTTCACTGGCTCAGTTCTTGAAGTTATTTGATCAATCTATGGCCAGGTAGGAAGACAGAGATTTTTTTACTGTTAAAATGTTGGTTTTTCAAGTATGTTTGCTATTAGTAACATACTTTTTTTTTTTTTAATTATTCAGATCAGAGAAGTCTCCATTACCTCAGAAAAGAATCTCAAATATTATTGAGTTTCTTACGTTTGAAACTTATGCATACTCTGTCAGAGGCTTGTACGAAAATCACAAATTCCTCTTTACCCTCCTCCTGACGCTAAAAATAGACCTTGAGAGAGGACATGTGAAAAACAGAGAGTTTCATGCACTTATCAGAGGTATGTTGAAGATATTGTATTGTATATTAGAGGTAATTTCAATGTTTAAAACTCTTACACAATTTCAAAGTTTGATATTTGACTACATGATTTCTACCAATAGTTCTATAAGAGATTTCTCTATTCTCATCCCTATTGTGGTCCAGTGCAGCTAGCTGCAGTTCTTTCTCTCAGTTCTACTTCCATTTAGTCTGGATTTGCTCTATTCTAAGAACAATAGCTTTTGGTTCTCTCAGTCTATAGATTTAATAGTTGTTTATTTTGTATTACATTTGTAGACTTGTTTATACATTAGATGACTTCTCGAACTTTTGCTTCTCTTCTATCATGGAGATGGATGAAGCTGTCTTCTGAATTATTAGAACAGTCCTACATGAGGTCTAGGCAACACTGTTATGAATTTGAGGTTACCTTTTTTATGACTTCTGACAACCACTGACACTGACTTTTTCAGAAAGTAATGTGCTCGTATGGGCTAACTGGGCTGGTCTGTGTTATCTGAACATTGTGAATGAAATATGTGAGTAGGATGCTTTATGTGGAGCTTCATATAAAAACTGCTTGAATCTTTTCAAATGCATCTTGCAAAGATCAAATGTCTAAAGTGAACCCACATTTTGAGGATCATTATTCAAAAAGAAAGGTCGAGGGGACAGGAAATATGATTAAATTTCCTTTCTTTTATGCCTAAAATCTTTTGATAATTGGTTTATGCTTTGAGGGTGATACCCAAACCCCATGTTACTACCTATGGAATGCTTCAATTTCTTTTAAATTCAGCAAAGCATTAGCAGGGAATTGTCTCCTGCTTCCTTAGCTCACTGATTCTTGTTTTGCCAGAGGAAAGTATACCTTTGGCATATGAGGCAGAAAGTCTTGTCTTACCCTTTCTCTTGATGACAATCCGTAATAAAATATAAGAGTACTTTTAAAAATTTTTGTATAAATCATTAAATTGCAGTTTCCCAGTGTTGATTTCATCATGAGAAATTCTTGTGGTACATAGAACGACACCAAGTGATAATAGATTTTCTGTAATTATTCACATGATAGTAAATTATAAAGATGCCTTGCCAAGGTGTCTTGSGCTCTGACCTATCTTCCATAATCAATATATGGTTCCAGTTTTCCTCCTTGAATGGACACTTCTTAGTGCAAAATGAATGCTAGTGGTACCAAACATCTTCAAGCAGCTGAGGGAAGAATTTATTTGCAAAATAAATCTCTCTCCCTTTTCTTTCCTTTTTCTTTCCAGGAAGAGAGCTTTCATGGCATTTCATTRACTATGTTATCAAAGGATGTCTCAATGAAATACACATTACTATTTGAAATGAAAAAAGTACCTAGAAYTCATTATTCAGCTAGTCTCAGGGGCTTATTGACTGTAAATCTTTCACCCTACTAGAGTACATAAATTGAAATTTATTCTGTTTATAGTTTTTCATTAAAGCAAAACACTAGCCCCCTCCTGAACATTTTAATGCTGTAGCTTGAAGGCAGCCTATTTTGCAAAACAGAGAAAGCACATCTCTAAATTATAGGAAAACAGCTTTCATCCAAAAAAATTGCATATGGATTTTTTTTTTCTATTTTTATCTCAGTAGACTGTGACTGAATTTTTATTTATAAAGAAACTAATATAGAATGAAACAAAATCAAAAAGATAAAAGAAAACCTGAGGAACTGATTGAAAGTTTTGTAGGTATCTGAAACCTGAGTATATGCTTTGTTAGAAGGAAGTGAGAGACTGATACCAGTGAAGAGTATAATATTCTCTAATAGAATGTAGCTTTGAGTGCAAAACTCAGTTAAAAATAACAGAGCATGTTGTAGAGGAATTGCAAAAGGTCTTTGGCTTTGTACACTTAAATCAAGCTAGACATATTGCCATGTTATTTTATGGATAATTAATGATTACCTGTTATTAATAAAAGTATCTTTTTGACTGAAGTGCATTTCTCACAGAATGCAGTAATTTGCAAAGCTATTCCGGCTGACTTATTGTATTGAGTTTATAAATGGTGCGATTATTGAAAATAGTATCATATGGCCGATAAGAATAAGCTAATGGATTGAGCTTGAGAGAGGATATGTGAAAAACAGAGGTCTATGTACTTATTATTCTCTTTCTTTGTGAGAAGCTACTGAAGCCTTCTCTGGGGAACAGGGAAGGAGAGAAAGGGCAAGAGTAGGAAAGCTTTCAGTAAAAGCACATGAGGTAGCTTTAAATTTTTGCATGATAGGAAAGAAAACAATTTGTATGTAGAAACTTCACTTTTTGAACACAGTTTTGCCCRTTAAGCTGTCCTTCAGTAACTTGCTAAGCTGTTTAAATGATATATTAAGCCTATGTAATTCTGCTTCTTGATTATTTATCTAAATGGATCCATATGTGGAGGAAAGCCTTGTGCACTGTGTGGAAAGCATTTTTTTCTAGATMCTGGAACCTTTCATATATGCCTTTCTATGGCAAAATGAAAACTAATAAAATACTTTCTACACATTACATAATTAACTTGAAGTCATTAGCATAACAAACCATTAGTTATAAGAAGTAAGGATTAAGAATGGTTTTAACAGCAAGAATATCAAAAAGTCCAAAGAGGAAACACTTATGGAATTGTCCTTCTTCATTGAATAGATCTCCCTATTTAAAAGAAAAATTTAAAAGAAAAATTTCACTAAAAGCAAAAACTTTCCTAAAACCTGTTTATTACCTGCCCTGTGCATTTTTCTTTTCAAGYTAATTGTTGTGATTGGCAGAATATTGTTCTGATTCAGCAAGGTAATTATTTTGTTTCTAGTTAAGAATATTCAGATAACTGGGTTAATAATTATTTTTTCTACATCACATGCTTATTTATCTCATTTCTTTAAAAAAGCAAGGCCACTCCTTCCTAAWAATCATCACTGATAGAATAAATGTAAATATTACATCCTAGAAACCAGCAGGAAAACATCTTAAAGATCAGAACTTTCTCTGCAAGTCTGCAGGAGAAGAGACTTCTGCCAAATCAGAATGTGTAGCACAGCATTATAAATTCTTTTCTCTAATTTGTCAAAAATTTTCAAGTAACATTCAGTTCAATTCTTTTGTATCAAAAATGCTGTATATAATGTCCTCTCAATTTCATAAATAAGAAAATTTGTGCTTTTATGTAATAAATATTTAAATGTCATGTTCACTCTAATAATAGGATTGTCTTTTCCTTCTTGCTTTTATGATTCATTTTCACTACATTCAGAATTGGAGATGAAATGGGTGCAGAAAAAATCTGCTTGTGAATATGCAGAATAAAATTATCTCAAGCTTTTGAGTGTCTTACATATTTCATCAGAATATTTTTACCTGCAGGAGGTGCGGCATTGGATCTAAAAGCTTGCCCACCCAAACCATTCCGGTGGATTCTTGACATGACATGGCTAAACCTAGTGGAATTGAGCAAACTTCCACAGTTTGCAGAAATTATGAATCAGGTAATACTTAATGTAATTATTTATTTGCACCATATTAACGGCTAGTTTCCCATGTTAAATAAACTTCCTGTGCTGTCTTAAAATTTCCATATACTTATAAGTTGAAAAAGAGAATGTGACAGTTGAAAGCTGGGAAAGTGCCAACTAATATATAAAAAACCACAAATATGGAGATAACATGTTTTTGATACGTATTCGTATGCATTATATATGCTGTTCTGTTTATTTGGCTCATGATATGAAATACATCAGTATCATTCATTTGAATGCAAAGAGAATATAATCTAAAATAAGAAAAAATTGTTTGAAAATGTTATGCCCAGTTCTCAAGAATCACCATGTTTTTGTGTTTTTCTTATCAATTACACTTTTACTGTTCTCCAGAAGTGAGGTCCCTCAGTCCCAGTTTCACGGCTTTTTAAAATCTGTATTTAGTGTAGAWGAAACTTTCCTCTTTAAACATGTAGATGACTCAGTTTCTTTTCATACTATTACTAATTCCAGCTGTGGGTGAATGAAAGATGATAGTAAATATAGKTATGTAAGAAAAACTTAAGAATCATCTTACTGAGTCAGCTAAAAGTCCTTTCAGTGCAATCTCTTATCTCTGCTTGTGGCCTGTAGACAATGCTTTAGGAGGTGCTTTCTCGCACTGTGCTCCTGGTATCTGTTCTGATTAGTGTCAGATTATGTAGAATTCGGTGGTTTGCTTATAATGTCTCCCTCCTCCCTGTCTTCCTCCCTGTCTTCCTCCCTGTCTTCCTCCCTNTCCTCCCTGTCTTCCTCCCTGTCTTCCTCCCTGTCTTCCTCCCTTCCTTCTTTCCCCCGCCACAGATTTGGGTTGTAGTTTACAAAAGACCATTCGGTGTTGTACTGAATCTGAGATGATAGGAAGTTTGAGCTTGGAAGCGGTCCCTATGCGTCGGTTTCCAAGAGATTTCCTATTATTTGTAGATTGTTCTAATACTCTTTCTATTTGAAATTACRCCAGTCAAGCAGACACAGTTCCTACGTTTACAATATGCATATGGAACTTGATTTCAAAACAGATGGTATCAACATGTTTGATAAACAGTATAGCAATTTTCACTATGCACGCTTCGTCATTATCCCTTGTGGATTTGTTATTAGGTTATAGGCATTAAAAGAAGCCTGAAGAATGATCACAGTTGTAGTTAGATTCATTAGGTCAGTCTTACCAGGCCCCTTACAGTCAGGGCCTGTAATTTTCAGTTTGCAATTCTTTGGCCATCTGAACTGCACTGGGAAGATTTTTCTCTTGTTTGTTAGTGTTTTGTGATTAGAAGGAATAAATCATTCACAGTGTATTTTTCTTGTAGTCTAGAATACTCCTTCTTTTTGGATGTAGTTGAACTGAGAATTTTTCCTGGTTAGCTGTGTTAATAACAGTGCACATACTATGACAGGAGCATTTTAAGATGTATACTATTATGTGTAATATAATAGAAGAATCTCATTAAAATATATTTCCAAATGATTTTACTGTAGCTGGAGTGTATTTATATATATATTATTGTCATAAAAATCAGGTTGCTCGTAATGAAAAGGGATGGAAAAGTTGGTTTGATAAAGATGCTCCTGAGGAAGAAGTGATACCTGATGGATATAATGATTCACTTGATACCTGTCGCAAACTTTTACTTATCAGGTGAGCATCTTCAGAAAAGTTGGAGAACGACATACCTTATTTCACCAAACATCTCCATCTACCCATATACTATCATCCTAATAACATGATTTTAATTGGTTTGTGTATGATGTGAGATGTTATTTAATATTCATTCACTTCAGAAGTAATCACTGAAGAGTATAAAAATATTATTTCTATAAAATATTTTCTAGCTTTCCTTTTATGTCATGGGAAATGGAACCTAAATTATGATGCGTTGCAGCTACATACAAAGAGTTACCAAAAGAGTAAAACCATTCAGATAGTTTTCAAAAATTTTTTTCCACTTGTTTCTTTTTAAACTTTAGGAATGTCTAAGTACAGTGCCATAAATCAAGTCTTTAGTAAGCCTATTTGGAGTTTTTTTATAGTTATATCTTTTGGCCAGATGTCTTTGTTTTTTTAATGGAAACAATGAAGACACATCCCTGGCTCAAATGCAACCCAGTGCAAAAGGGTTGAGTCTGCCTTGAAACACAGAGATACTGGAAACTTAAAATCTGTAGATTATAAACATAAGTAAATAATATAACATTGGTACAAATTTATTCAATGGTACAATTTATTCAAAAATAATCTTATCTTTCCCTACTTCAGTTCTCAGATGCAGAAGTTCTGTTTAGAATGGAGGGGGGGGAAAAAAAAAAAAAAAGACCCACGCTAATTAAGATACCCTAAAACGAAAATTTTAGTGCAAATGCTTTATATATGGCAAAGTTGTCAGCAGCTGAAAACTTTTCAATAATCTTAAGTAGCGGGAAGAATATGAGTTCTGCTTTTTTACTGCATATGTAAATGCAAACATATAAACATACTTATTTTATGAAACAAAAATCTCTACTTGATTAAACTAAAGTTTCTTATTTAAGCCTGGTTTTGCAACAGCAAAAATCACTGAATTTCTATCTTGATATATGTTTTTATTCCTAGGTCTTGGTGTCCAGACCGCACTGTTTCCCAAGCCAGGAAATACATAGCAGATTCCTTGGATGAGAAATACACAGAACCAGTTATTTTGAATTTAGAAAAAACTTGGGAAGAAAGTGACAAACGAACACCTCTCATCTGTTTCTTGTCTATGGGATCTGACCCAACTATTCAGATTGATTCATTGGCTAGGAAGCATAAACTAGGTATGAAAATTATTCATCGTCATGAGTTGCTCAAGAAACAAGAAGGATTATGTAACTTAAGAGTTTTTTTCTGAAAAGTATTTTTTTTATGTCTTCTTGTACTATTTTTGTTCCTCAAGCAAAGTCTTAGAGGCTTCAAAAGTAATGCTTAACAAATGACACCATGCTGAGAATCATTCTGTATACAGTTGTGAAGTAACGTGTTTTCCATATTTTTATAACTTATTAACATATTTCCAAGTTGTGAAATGAGAGACTTTAAAAAAGGCATGTTGAGAATACTATTTTCTTGTTTAAAAACATCTTAACTGAAGATAAGAAAAAAAATCTGCAATTTATGTGCAAGATAACTTTCCAACAACAATTACTGACATTTACATTACAGTCTCATTACAGATTGTGCTAATTTAAGTGGCTTGCTGTATTCTTAAACACTTAAAGAAAACAAATGACTTTATATATAGAATACAGTGACTTCATTATAATTTGGCACAAATTCCTATTTTCAGTAATAATAATAGTAATTGGTTAATTAGTCATTCACTTCTGAAAACACAGTAAACACTGAAGACTGATATTTTAATTTACAAAGTTTCAGTCTTTAGAAAATTTTTATGTAGAAGCGTAAAATGATTCTGAAATTATTTGCATTCTATGATATATTATTGTATGTAAACTGCACTTAATTTTGATATATTTTACTCCTTTTGGGTGGCTGAACTAGAATTTTACTTACCCTTCAAGAACATAAGGTTGTTTATAATATACATTCTTATATGTTGTAGAATGTAGGACCATCTCTATGGGTCAAGGCCAAGAAGTTCATGCACGCAAATTCACTCAAATGGCAATGCATCAGGTAGGAAGAATATGTAAATAAGTATTTTTTTCATACACCATTTTTTTTTCTTTTGCTTCTACTTTTGCATCCAATCTCCAACAGTTTGCGTTTGGACCTACCATCATGCTTATCAATAGGTGACAAAATGTCCCAGTGTCCTTGAGTGAGTCCTCAAGTGTCCTTGAAACTTAAAACATTCCTCTGCAGGAAATGTTTGTGCCAAGAGAGTCTAAGTCAGTAATTCTGCCAGCAGTATTGTTCAGCAGCATTTCAGAGGTAGCATGTTCTCTTTTTGTCTCTATGCTATTATATGAGGAGGATGGAAGGACATAGCGTCCTTACTCTGTCCTTCAGAAATTGCAGCTCCCATTTCTGTACAGGAATTTTTTTTCTCTTCACATAGTTTCTATTAAAGAATATGGTGAATGCAAACTCAGCTTAAAAGCTCTGGGCATATAAGGATGTGCCAGARAAAGAACTTCCTTGTGTCTTTTAATATTACCTCATGTTTTCCTTACATCTGTGGTGGTGAAAGTACCTCCTTTGAGTCTCAAGTTTATGTAAGAATTTCAAATAAATATTGAAAGTAGAGCAGAGAAGTTAGTGTTTTAAGCATACTGTCCAATCAAGTAATGTACTTGAAAAAGTACAGAAGTCACAGTTGACTTAAAACATTTCAGCAAGCTGAAGAACTAGAAGGTCTTTATTAACAAAAAATAAAAGAGCTACATTGAAAAATGAAAATTTTATTTTATATGTCCTTTACCTACTGTTAGTCCTTACTACTTGTAGTATTTTTCTGTATCTAAAGAATTCTGAACTGATGTGTGCTCACTGAAAGGTATGCTTAGTAGCCATGTTATTTATACCTTATGCAGTATGTGGTTTTATACCTCCAGTGGGAGTATTTATTAAAGTCTGATAAAAATTTGAAGATACAGATCTGTTATATATTTTTAAAAACTTGTCTCCTYGTGACATAAGACTTTACATTTTACTTATGGAAATGTTATCAACCATTAGAGTTTCAGAAGCATGAACTGTCTGTGAAGTGAGATGAGAGTACAGAACAGGCCATAGGAACATTGTTACTTTGAGACAGTTGCAGTTTCGTTATCAAGATCATTTCAGGCATCCATCTAAATAGGCCTTCTGTCATTGTACTCTGTAGTGTACAATGACGAGAGGAAATGCTTTGTTCTTCAGGCTTTTTGGACTGATAGACTGAAATGTTTCTGTCATGCAGAAAAAAAGGAAAGGTCAGGCAATTCAGGGTTTTYCAGTGGTATTACATCCTATCTGTGAAATATCTTCATTTGAGACAAAAAATATCCTTTGCCAGATACCCTTTGTTCATGTGACCATAATGCAGTCTGCTTTGTTTTTGCTTTCTGTTATTAGACCTAMGTAGTGTTTGTATACGATTATGTCTGTATGCCTCTTCTAGACATTATAGCATAATCCAAGGTTTGCTGGCYAATTCAGCCTTTTCCATGGAAATTTTCTACATCATGTCCTAGTAACCTCTCAAGTCCTACCAAATGTTTTGGCAGTTGATTGGAGAAAGGACCAGTACTGGAATGCATACATGCATAATTTTAGGATTAGGCAATTARAGATTTATGATTAGAGAGAAAGAAAATCTTTATAGCGTATATAACATTCTTTAAAGGTATTTCTCTGTAAAAAGTATATAAAACTGCTCTACTGTGATATGTGTAGATGATTTTCATGATTTGAACCTAATTCATATYGGAAATGCAGCATTAATTAAAAAAATAGATCTCCATGCATTTTCATAGAATAAATTGTTATTCTTTTCCTTACTTTTATTGTCCATCAGTTCACCAGAAATATTTCAATTAGATTTCCAAATAAAAAGTTATTTGTTTCTTTATAAATGAGCTAAACCAAAATTGCCAACATGAAATTACAGATTGTCATCAAATCCACACATCACTGTTTAGAAATGATTGARTAATGTCCAATTTCAGTATCAAGCCTCTGAATCACCAGGCTTCTAATGTGATGCTACAACAACTGATTGCATTTAAATTCTTAAGCAGAAGTGCATGGAGAGATTAATCAAAATAGAGCTTCATAAAATTTGAGAGGTGAATAAGATTGAAATTAATATCCAGGAAGCTGAATTTCATACAAATATATTTATTTCAAATAAACTACCAATTACACTCAAAAAGTTTTAGAGTTTTGTTGCAACCTCTCTCCACTACCTCAAGATTGTTATTTACAAATAAGTAAAAACAAAATAATAAAAAAAAACAAAACAAGAAACAAACAACAAAGAATTTCTTAGATGCCAGCTAGCACTTTTCCACTCTTAATTCTTTTGCAACTGAAGAGAGGATTGCTAATCACTGTGGTTTCACTGGAAGAAAGCAGACCGGAATAACTTCTTTTTGCCACTAGGTAGCACTCATACTTTACCTACAACATTTACTGTGATTGTCTTATTTTTCATTGTTATCTGTAGGAAGTGCAAATAACTTTCACATTTACTTTTGCTATTTCATTTAACTGTGACAAAACCAAATAACAAGTTAAATTATATTAAATGCTCAGGAACAGAATAGAGGAAAAGCTCAAAAATGGTTGTTCTTTGCACTATGAATAACTTGTATTAATTTCTGAAAAGTAGTGGTTGACATTTTTATGCAGGGAGGCTGGGTGTTACTGCAGAATTGTCATCTTGGACTGGATTTCATGGATGAGCTCCTGGAAACACTTCTTGCTGCTGAGATACCGAATGAGACATTTCGAGTTTGGATAACTACTGAACCACATCCTAAATTCCCAATTACACTACTACAGGTTTGTTCAGCTCTCTAGTTYAGATGCGTAATATAATTAAAGCTATTCAAATTAACTCTGGACACTGAAATGAAATAATTAAGYGGAAGGGAGAAGCTTTTAGAAAAGAAATAGTGTGTTCTGTAGAATGCAAATGACACTGCAGACATGAAAGTTACTTAGCAGTAGGTGGAATCCTTTAAGATGCATTATACATCCATGCATTCCTACTAGTTATGTTCATGCAAACACTTGATTCCCG